AGGCAAGATTAATGCCTAAAGGGTTTCAAAAGTTGTATGATGCAGATTTCATTAACATTTTAATTGTAATGTATCTTTTTAATCTTCTCTCACCCTAATGGCTTTATATCCAAAAAAAGGGAAGAAGAAACTGCTGACAACAACAAAAAGTATCAACTTACGGAATGTAACAAAGGCCTTCAAAGCGCCATGGAAGCGGAATTAAATGAGCAAAACCATGTCAGCGTTGTGATGTTCTAACAGCACCCAAGTCCCGTGTGGCAAAGGCAAAGGCCGTCACTTCTCCCCCCCCCCGGCACAGGGACAGCCGAGGGCGCCGCCGGGCACAGACGCAGCCCAGGGCCAGGGTGCAGAACCACTTTTTTCTGCTCGTGTGGGGGCGTGGGGCAGGGGCTTCCTCCAAACCCCCAGCAGCCCCCCCACCCCCTCCTCCCTCCCACTGGTAGATCCAGAAAATACCAGCTATGCGGCGGAATGCCCCTCATAACTGCAGGGGTGGGCCGGCGACATCTAGGGGTGCCGCCATAATGAGGGGGGCATTTTGTGGGGCAAGGGCTGGGCCTGTAGCCAGGCAGCCATCCTCAAGGGGGGCCCCAGAGGGCTCTGGACAGTGTGATTGCCTCCAGTTCCCAAAGGCATTGACTCCAGATGTACACTCAGTCTCGACTACCAAGGGCCTCGATTTTTATTTTCAATCAACAAACACTCCAGGAACACCAAGCCCATGCCTGCTGCTGTCTGACCCTTCACCCCAGATCCAGCTTCCCCCAGTGGCACCCCCTCAGGTCCAGGCTGCCCGGAGGGACCCAGTGGCTGGGCGTGGACACAGCCAGGCTCACTGCTCACCCCAGTGACTATATATGGACACTTTCAGGCCCCTTTGGTCCCCGCCCCCAGCCCTGCCTGCTTTCCAGGCACTGGAAAGGCCTGGGCGGGGCCCAGGAGCTCCCGGCCCATCCATGGCCATGTGCCCTCCTGGATGCCAGGGCCCAGGGCCACGGGGGAGGGGCAGGATTCCTTCAGAGAGACCCACGGGGCCGGAGAAGCCATCTCCGAGAAAAGTATGCTTCCGTCCTCTCCGGAGACAGAGAAGCGGCCGCCCCTTAAAGGTGCCTGTGCCCCTCCCTGGCTCCTGCCCCCTTCCTGGCAGGGGCCATGCGGAGAGGGCCCGCAGGCCAAACCCATCCTGCACAGAAGCCCCGGCCTAGGCCTGCTCCCCCTCAGCCTCCACCCAGCAGCATCAAGGCGCACAGGGCAGGGCTCAGAGAGGTCGAGTCACCCACCCAAGCTCACACAGCCTGGGGCCGGCTGTGACCTGGGAGGGATGGCCGAGCTCCCCGCCTGGGCCCAGCCAGCGGCAGCTGGGGGCGGGCGGTGCCCGGAGAGCCCAGATGGCCTCCCGGTCGGGTCTGCTCGGCGTGCTCCCGGTCCCACGGAGGGACAGGTGGCTGCTCCTCCTGCCCTCGTGGGCGCCGCCTCCACCCTGAGGATGCCAGCCGCGGGCCGCCAGGGAGCCGTGCTCCGAAGTCCATGTCCAGACACTTCCAGACAGACCCCTGTGCGTCCACCCCGTCCCACCGTGCGGGGACCCTCCCCCACAGGGCCCCCGCTGGGTTCCCAAGCCTGAACATTAAAGACAAAGGCTAGGCCTGCAAGCAGGAGGCTCAGCTCCCAGCGGGCCAGCAGCCGCAGGGGACAGCGAGGGGACCTGGGGCAGGCCCCAGCACGTTTTTGAGTGACCGCACCCAGGGCCAGGCTGGGGAGAGCGAGGACCGGCTGACAGCGACACAGGCCGCCTGGACGGGCACCCCCTGCCAGAGGGTGAGCAGTACCTGGGGTTTCCCCCAGTGGGGGGCAGCACGGCCTCCGGGCACACCCTTGACGGCTCCCCGGGGCCCCGGAACGTGGAAGGGGAGACAAAACCAGGTGGGGCAGGGGTGGGGGGCTGCACAGGTGCCGAGGGCCAGACCGCTGGCCTCCGCGAGGGCCGAGGGGATGCGCGGGGAGGCCCGTCCCGCTGGAACGAGGTGCTGGGAGAGGACGCCCAGGCCGGGGCGAGAGAGGCCCCAGCCGGCCAGCCCTGACCGGGTCCTGGCGCCCCTCACCAGCTCCCACCAGGCCCACAGCCCGCCAGACTCCACAAGGCGGGCTCAGCAGGAGCAGCTCTGTGTTGGCGGGCTTGGGGGGGCCCTGTTCCTGCCCTGGGACACGCCCCCCCAACACACACACACACACACACTCTCCCCCTCGAAGACCAGGCCTGGAAGCCAGCCCCCGGGGGGACACCGGCCGCAGGAATGAGCCAGGCCAGGTCAGGCCAGCTAACACTGCCACCACTGCCCATCACCGCTGCAAAGCCCCTGGTTCTCACGAGAAAAGGGCCAGGGAGTGCGGGCAAGGGGCCCTGATCTGAGGGGTTTGGGGGGCTGCACTGACCCTCCCCAGACGGCCCCCGCTCCGGCTGCTCCTCCGACCCCCACAGACCAAGGGGCAGTATCCGGGGAGCGGGGGGCTGTTGGGAGGCTGCATGGGACTTGCCGGCAGGGGTGGCGGAGGCCCGGCTGCAGGGGCCGAGTCCTGGACGCCAGACAACCCCCCACCCCGCCCCCTCCACCCTGCCGTGCACTCCAGGGAGCACGGGCCTCAGGGCAGGAGGCACAGAGAGAGGCCGGGAACGTCCTCGGAGGGGTGGACACCCCAGTGCTTATTACCTCTGCCCCAGGAGGGGCCCTGGGTCCACCCCAGCCTGTGACACAGCCCCGGCGAGCAGGACCCCAGAGGCAAAGCTCCCAGAGGGGCAAGGCTGTGGAGGCCGTTGTCTCCGCCCCTCCCGTGTGAACAACGCTCGCTCACGTCTTGGTTGAAGAACAGGGAAAGGTCTGAAGGATTCTCTGTACGAAGTCACCCCCGCGCCACCGCCCAGAGAGGGCCCCTCTGAGCGAGCCCACGTCCGTGACGAAGAACCGGGGGGTCCCCGACACAGACAGGCGGCAGCCTCGCTACCGGCGTTTCAGCCCGGTAGCCCACTGGCTCTCCACACACCCCGCGGGAGACTGACCGGCCCCCGGGCCAGGGCGGACGGAGCAGCGCGGTCAGCTCGGCACTGGCCACCACGTCCAGCGCCGTGCCCTCCCTGGGGGTGACCACGGACAACAGATCTCTGGCCGCCGAACGGTGACAGGGACACGTTGTTCACCTTCTAGGATCCTCCCAGCAGACGCTCAGAGACGGCGGGGGCCGGCCCCTCGGGTCTCCTCTTCTACTGCCCCGGCCCAGGCGCCAACCCACAGTGGAGTGCCCCCCGGGGAAATGCCAACAGGCCGGGGGGGCACCCGAGAGGGGCTCGGTGGGCTGCGGGAAGGGGGAAGGCGATCTGCTGGACGAGGGGAGCGGGTGGGCTGCCAACCCTTGTTTCCTCATCTGCGAAATGGAGCCAACGTTGGAAACGGCCTCTCCCGAGTGAGTCCCGGGGACACGCAGGCCCTGCCGTCCCTCTGGGATCCTCTGGGCCAACGGAAGGGGGTGGGGAGGGAGGGGGGGGGGAGACCACTGCAGACCAGACAGAGAGAGGCGGGCGCAGGAAGCCGGAGGGGGCACGCCGAGGGGGTGGGGCACAGGGTGTGCTCCAGGGTGCTCAGGATGGGGAGCGGGGGAGGGCAGGAAGCGTGCTGCCCCTGCCTCCCCACCAGCCCCAGCCCCCAGGCCCGCCCCCTTCCCAGCCACACACAGGATGGACTCAGCCACAGTGCACCTGAGGGGGCACGGCTGGGTCCCAGCGAGTCCCAGAAACACCACTGGAAAAGAGGCGCCGAGTGCCCATGTGGGCAGAAACATTTCAGATCTCACGCCCGAGGATGCAGACGGTGATGGGTGGGGTGGGGGGAGGACTTGGCAGCTGTGGGAAGGGCCAGCTCCAGGGCACTGACCCACTGCAAAGCCACGGGTTTGCAGGGCAGCAGGAGAGAGCTGGTCAGCACCAGCCCGAGACAAAACTTCCGAGGAGCTCAGGACAGGACCTGGAGGTGACCTCTGACCTCACGAGTCCCACGCCCGTGAGCCAGCCGGCTCAGGGCCCGCGCCCTGGCCACGAGGTGCGAGCGGCAAGCTCTGAGCTCACCGCAGAGCTTCCTGAAGAGGGGGCCTGGCCGCGAAACCTGCCCAGGCAGCGACCCAGCTGCGGATGGCAGGTGCGAGCCCCTCCCGGTGCAGCCCAGCCCGCGCCCAGGTTCTCCGCAGGCTGGGGGGAGCCCTGCATCTTCCCTGCCCAGACTGGGGTCCGCACGACGAGTGAACGGGGACGGCGATACCCGCGAAGGAGCCCACAGGACCCGGAAGGACAGGCGCAAGACCCGACTGCTGCGCAGCCCCGGGGTCGGCCTCGGACCCTGCGGGGGAGGGGGGGCGTCCCCCCAGGCCTGGCCCGGGGCCAAACGCGTCCTGGCCTCGGGACCCCCAGGAGATGGGCTTGGTCCACCAAGTCGCGTGGGGGGGGAGGGGAGGCGAGAGGGGACAAGTGGGAGCGAGTGTCCCGACCACCCCGGCGGGAGGGGGACGCCCAGGGCTGGGGTCTGCCCGAAGCGCGCTGCCCGTGGTCCTCGATCAGTGGGATGGGGATGCGGCTCGGCTCGGGGCGCCTCCCCAGGCCCCGGGCCCCGCGGCCACCTCGGCCGGGCAGGCGCGCTGCGCGAACTTGGGCTGCGGGCCGGCGGCGGGCACTGCGGCAGCGCGCGCGGCCGGCGCCGCGGAGTTTGGGGAAGTGCGGCGGCGACCCTGGCGGCTGCACCAAGTTGGGCGTACCTGCGGGCGCCCGGCCCGGTCCGGCCTGCGGCAGCGGCGGCCGGCGGCAGGAAGTGTTCCGGCGTCCGCGCGCTCCGCTCACATGGACTTTCTCCGGCCTCGCCCAGCACCGGCCGCACCGCGGGGCGGGGCGCGCGGGGGAGGCGCGGCGGGCCGGTTAAAGGGACAGCGCGCCGGCCGCGCGCGCGCGCGCGCGCACTCACCACCAGGTGGGCTCCTCCTGGGAGGGGTGTCCCGAGGAGGGAGGCGGAAATGCTGGAGAGGGGGTGGGCAGGCTGAGCCGGGGGATTCCGGACGCAGGGGTCCCGGACTCGGCGAGAGGCGGCAGCTCCCCGCCACCCCCGCCCTCTGCGCGCAGCCTTCTCGAGCTCCGGGCGTCCGACCCTGCGCCGGGCACTGGGCCGGGGCCGGATGCGGAAGGGCAGAGGGCCGGGCAGCCGGGCAGATTAGGACAGCGGCGCCTACTCACTCTCTCTGGCCATCCGACCCCCGCACGGACCCAGGAAGCCCCGGAGCCACTCCCCCCACCCCACTCCCGGCCCTGGAGCGCCCCTCCCTGCAGCGGCCGCGTTTGCACCGAGCGGCCTTCAGGATGCGCCGCCAAGTGGGGCGGCCGGCCGGCCGGAAGGGGTGCCCGGCCCCTGCCGAGGCTGACACCAGGGCGGCCAGGAAAACGGGAATGCGGGAGCGCCCTCGGGCGAACCACCGGGCGCCGGCGTCTCCTGCGCCGGGCAGAGAACTGCGAACTGCGGGGGCGCCGCGGGGTCTGCTCTCGGGCCCGGTGTGCTCCGGCCGCACTGGCTCATGACTGAACAGACGTGCCATTTTGAAACAAGTGCGCAGAAATAAAACCCTCCGCACCCCCGAAGGGGCCCACAAACGCCCCCCTCTCACCCCTCTGTCCCGCTCAGTCGCCCCCACCCTACCCTGGGGCCTGAGGTCAGGACTGGCTTCAGTGGTCCCCCGGGGCTGAGGCAGCGGGCTCCCTCACCCCCACACTTGCAGGAAAAGGGGGTTGGAAGGGGGCAGTGATGCCCAGCATGGAGTCGCTGGGAAGGAGGGGTTAAGCGAAGAGCAAGAGGCCTGCCCACCCTCCCAGGCCGCATTCTGTGTCCCCTGGGGGTCAGAGGCTAAAGCCCTGCAGGGCAGTTAGCCAAGGTCATTCCTAAGACAAGTGTCAGAAGCTTGGTCCAAGTATTCCTGTCCCCTGGCTCATCCTAGGTCCTTGACCTGGGTCGTAAATGGGTCCCCACCCCCTCCAGGACTCTATGGGCACGCTCCCCAAACCCCACTTCCACTTAAACATGGCCGCAGCCTCCACTGCCACTTCCAAGCCCTCCGGGCAGTCTCTCGGCTGGAGACACCTCCAGGTAGCTTGGTGTGTGCTCCCGGCCAAGCAGGTGCAAGGCGAGACAGACAGGCCCCCCACTTCTCGGCCTGCTCTGCAGGGGGTGGGGGGCAGCGGAGGCCCTGGGGCCGTGTGGGAGAGGGCCGCGCCTGGGCCGGGCAGCTCAGCGGCCCAGGACACCCGACGCTCTCCCGTCCAGTTTGTCACCTCGGCAGTGCCACGCCCCTGCGAAATCAGCTTCTGCAGACGGCACGTGTGAGCAGGGACAGGTGTGGCTCCCCGCTTCCAGACTGCGAGTCAGGCCACAAGAAGCCGTCCGCTCCCTGAGGCCCGCGGCCAGGGCCGGGCCACTGTGCAGGCGGCCTGTGCAGGGTCTGGAGGTGCGAAGGGGCAGGCAAGGACAGGGCGGGACGGGGGTGGGGGGGGGAGAGCCTGCGCACCTGGGGAGCTGGCCCACGTACTCGTACACGGTGGTGGTTGTCCTCACTTTTATTTTCTGAAGAGGAATGAGATTCCTTCTTCCCTAATGAAGGACGTTTGGAGAATACTCAAGTATTTAGAAGACAACCGGTAACCAGAAACCTGTTCCCCAAAGGACGATGGGGTGGATGCGGCTTCTGGGGGGCCGTGTGCGCATGCGCCACCCCTGCGCACGCGGACGCGCAGCTCCCGGCCTCTCCTGCGTGTTCCGTGCGTGTTCTCTAACGCGGTTTTCACGGGGATCTTTTTATTCCTGTTACGGGAACGGGACGGAGGGATGCAGCTGGGGCGGGACGTGCAGCGAGCTCGGGCTCTCTCGCTCAGGCCTCCTGGGCACGGAGCGGGGAAGACTTGAACCCAGGAAGGGTGGGGCCGGGAACCTCCTTCCCTTCCTCTGACCTGGGGCCGGTTAGGCGTGGTGACCGCCAGCCTGCTGCTGGCTGATATGCATGTCGTTGGCCACAGCCCGCCCTCCCCCCCCAGGGGTCTGATAGCACTGCAGCCCCAGCTGCTAACAAGGGTCCTGAGCTTTCTTGGCCTAAGGCTTGATTTTCCCTCTTCATCCGGAGAGCGTCTGGCCAGGGGAACGGGGAAGTCACAGGGGATAAGTGTGCGCATCGATGAGCCACCGAGGCAGGGTGTCGGGGGTGGGGGGGCTCGCTGCACCGGGGGCTCCGCCTTGGCCTGGTCGCCTGTCTGTCCTTCCCGGGATGGTGGGAGCCTTTGGGACCTTGCGGGGGGGCCGCTGCTGTGGTCCTCCGGGTGCTCAGTGGGGACCCGTCCTGTCGGAGAAAGGCTTCGGCGGAGGAGGGGGCTGGGGGAAGGGTCCACACCTGTCCACCGAGACCCTCCCGGCCACCCACCCAAACTCTGCCCACTCCACCCTCGTCCTCCCGGGCGCCCTGTGGCTCAGAGGTTCCCGCCCTGTGGCTGTGTCGCCAGGGCCCTGTGTGTGGGCCCCAGGGGGGCACGGACCCTCGCCCTGATGCCGCTGGCCGGGTCTGCGTGCGGCCGGCGTCCATTCTGGGGAGAGGCTCGCCTCCCCCTCCGAGGCTCATCCCGGAGAAGGGGAGAAGGGCCGGGGCCTGTCAGATCTCACTTAGCCAGCTGCCGCCTCCACCTGTGCGTCCACCTGGGTGGCTGATGGCCGTCCCAAACTCCACACGGCCACACAGAGCCCCTCCCCGCACCGGGGCCCCGTCTGGCCACCTCCTCCGCACCACACCGGGTGGCAGCTGGTCCTGGGAGCTCCCTGCCCCCAGCAGCAGCCGGCCAGCCACCTCGGGCTTCTCCTCACCGCCTCCCTCACACTCCAGACCCAGTCTGTCCCCAGCCTGACGGCTCCGCCTCGGCGATGTGTCAGGAACGGCAGCTCAGCTTCGGGCGGCTCCCAGCCCGGCCCGGCCCAGCCCACTTCCTGGGTAACTGCAGCGGGGATCCCGGTTGCTGGATGGAGATGAAGGTTCCTGTTAGACCCACCGGGGGTCCAGGGAGGGGATGGCGGGGCTTGGACTGGACATGGAGGTGGGGTGCTGAGGGCCCAGGGCCACCTGTGCCGATAGGGGAGCCCGCCTCCTCCCCCCACAACCCCCCCAGCCTTCCAGGCTGCCTCTGCCCAGGAAGCGTACCTGGCTCCCGAGGGCAGGCAGGGCCTCTGTTTCCCACCCACAGAGCTGCCCCTCTTCTGGCCCCACGGGGAGGGCTCCCCGGGCCTCTGACTCAGGGCTGAAGGACGAACGGGCATCTGGGTGTGCGACTGCTCCCCACTGCACCCCTCGCCTCCAGAGCCCTGGGAGAGCAAGTTCCCTTCTCGTTACTGCCCCCTACGGGCCAGGGCAGGACCTAGTCCTGGCGCACTCCTCCTCGGCCCCTCTGCGCAGGGCTGTGACTGAGCCCACACGTGGGCTCAGAGAGCAGAGACCCCTCAACCCCCCAGAGAGGTCGGCGCCAGGTCGCCTGCAGCAGCGCCCAGACAGGGACTCAGCTCTTCCAGCACTGGGCCCACCTCCACCGCAGGGGAGCCCGAGGCGCAGGGCTGGCTCCAGGTGGGGGAGAGCCCCTGCCGCCCCGGCTCCCAGACCGGCCCCGCCCAGCAGCCACACGGAGGGCAGAGCCCTCACCAGTGGGTGTGAGTTGCTGAAGGCTGCCCTGGAGACGGAGGTTTGCTCACCTGGTCCCGGCCCGCCCCCCAAACCCTCCTCCGGTGCATCCGCCGGGCAGGCTGGGGTCTGGCTCCACCTCCGAGGTCCCGCGTGGTGCGGGGGGTACCTGTCCCTGCAGGTGTTTCACGCTCCCACCCTTCCCGGCCTCAGCCTGGCCTGTGGGTCGGTGCGAGCGGTGAGTGTGGCCCGAGGGGTCTGCTGTGCGCCGGGCCGGCGGGGGGCAGCCGCAGGGGCCGGGGGACAGCTGTGCGCGCTCGTCGGACGAGGTTGGACCCCGCGCGCGCAGAAGGAAACTGGGTGAGTATTTTGGTCCGTGTGCGAGAATCAGGACAGTGCGCTTGCCTCTTCCGTGTGCGTCGGAGCTGCCAGCCCTCTCCCCTTTCTGTCCTAAATTTCCCTCTCGCGCTCTGCGCAGCTGTGCGAGCAGCTGCCGCCGCCGCGGCCGCCGCCGCTGCCGCTCACAGAGGCGGAGGGTCAGGAGGCTGCAGCGGCTCCCCCCCCCCCGGGCCGTGCCAGGGTGGGCACCCAGCTCGGGGGCAGTTGGTGCTTCTGCTGGACGCGGGTGACAGCTGGGCACGCGCTTCCCGGAGACGCGATCGGACAGGGCTCGCGAGCAGTGCCAGCAACAGCAGCTGGAGGCAGCCGGGCGACACAAGTGGAGGGACTTCGGTGGCCCAGGTCCCCAACGGTGGGGCCGCCTTTCCCAGGGTAGCTCACCACCGGGGCCCCTTCTGCGGGGAGAGGTCCTGCCCGTGAGACCCAGCTCCCAGGGCCACTCGGAAAGTGAGCACAGAGAGGGCCGGCCGAGAGACAGGCCCCGGGGGCGCCAGGGACCTGCTGCGGTCTGAGTGTGTATCCCCCCAATTCATGTGCTACATCCTGGCCCCCACGGTGAAGGGCGAGGAGGTGGGGCCTTTGGGAGGTGAAAAGGTCGTTTGGGTGGAGCCCCCGTGAATGGGGTCAGTGCCCCTATCATGAGGCTCCAGAGAGCCCCGGCCCCTCCCACCACCCGCTGAGGACACAGCGAGAAGACGCCCTCACCAGACACCAGATCTGCGGGCACCAGGACCCTGGACTCGCAGCCCCCAGACTGGAAGTCCGAGTCTGTTATTCCCAAGCCCCCCGGGCTCAGCCAGGACGGATGGAGACCAGGCAACTGCATTCACTCCCCTTGTTATTCATTCATTCATTCTGCAACTGCCTGCCCGCCCAGTGCTCCGGGAGAAAGGCCGGCCCCTCCTACAGGCTGGCCCTGCGGGACGTGTCCCTGAGGTCAAAACTGGGGAGTGGGTTTGGGCCACTGAGCGCCGTTCTGCCCCGGCTCAGGGCACCCAGCCTCAGCCCGGGCCTCCCACCCCCACCTGGGGGATCGCTGGCCTCGGGCGGAGCCCTCCGGAGCCCTGTCCGCTCCGGGCTGCAAGTCCAGCTGGCCCTCCACTTCCTTTCCCTTATCTCACAGGAAGGGCTAGGCGTGGAGAGAAGCAGACACCCACGCAGCAGGGCGGCTGGAACAAGGCCCTTCTTCATGTGAGTCCACTCAGCGGCTGACCACCTGACCCAGAGGCGGGTGAGGAAAAGGGGGCGGGGCCCTTGCCTCTCTGCTAGGACCACAGGCTGTTTACCTGGGGCGATCGGCCCCTCCGCTCTGGCCAGGAGCACCCGAGGGAGTGCTGAGCCCCGAGGGTGAGGAGCCAGGACCCACCACCCTGCTCTGCCCGACTCCGGGTGCTCGAGGCTGGGACCGGAACCTGAGGGAGACATGTGCACACACAGGCATGCACGCACACGCACACACGTGTGCGCACCCTGGGTGCACGGCGAGAGGGGGGCGGTGGTGGGTCCCGTGGAACCGCCCCCACCGGGACGGCGCCCCCGGGGCGCCTGTGCCGGACGCAGATGGGAGGCCCGCTCAGGCGGAGTCGGCCCCCCGATGTGACGTCTTGGAGGAAGAGTGTTCCTGTTACACTTGGGGGGAGCCGGGAAAACGGGTTATCACTGGACGATGTGAAAACGTGCAGATAATTCACGCCACCGTGACGGCTGCCGCGGGGCTGCTGCAGAGAATGAAGCTCACGCCCAACACCCAGCCTCAGGCCGTGGCGGGGCTGCCCTCGCCCTGGGCGGTGGCGGCGTGCGGCAGACCTCGAGGGTCTTTTTGGTTTGCAGTGGTCTCGGGGCGGGGAGGGATGAGGGGCAGAGAAACATCGATTTATTCGCTGCCCCACTCACTCATGCACTCGGTGGCTGATTCTTGTAGGTCCCCTGACCTGGGACTGAACCCACAACCTCTGTGGATCGCGGAGGATGCTCTAACCAACTGAGCTACTCGGCCAGGGCCCCCTCAGTTCTGAAAAGCACACTGCTCAGGTGGACAGTGGGCAGCATCCCAGGTCTGAGAGGAGCCCCCAGCCCCGGGTCTTGTGGGAAATGCGGGAGCAGGGCGCCCCAGGGCCCCAGGGCCCCAGGGCCGGAGCGGGGGCAGTCGGTGCAGGAAGCCAAGGCCGCCACACGGGGAGAGCCAGAGGGCCACACGCTCTCCGTGTGGCCCTTCCTCTGAAGCATCGGGTGGTTGGAATGGCAAAAACATTCCTACCCCTGGCTGGTGTGGCTCCGTGGATTGAGCATGGGCTTGGGAACCGAAGGGCTGCCAGTTCGATTCCCAGTCAGGGCACACGCCTGGGCTGTGGACCAGGTCCCCAGGAGTGGGTGTGTGAGAGGCAACCAGACATTAATGTTTCTCTCCCTCTCTTCTTCCTCCTTTCCCTTTTCCCCTTTCTCTAAAAATAAATAAATAAACTCTTTAAAAAAAAACTTCCTACCAGTGGGGACATGGGAACAAGGGGTGGGTAGCGACTGAACCCCAGGCTGTGTGTAGGGGCTCCCCAGGAGGACGGGCCATGCCATCCTGCGCCCCTGGCTGTGCCTGGCCGTGAGGCCCAGGCTGTCCATCTCGTCCCCTGACCCCAGTGAGAGCAGAGGTCACCACTCCCCGCTGGCGTGAGCAGATGGCCTGCTCCGGAGAGCCCACTTCTTCCGGGTCCCCTGGGAGGAGGGGCCTGCAGCCCGCCCCCTACTTTGGGCTCCCAGGTATCATCACCTGCTTCACCCAGTGTGGAGTCCAGCCCCTCATGGCACAGGGGACACCCCTCCCCCAAAGCCACCTGGCCCCTCCTGACCCCATGACATCACTGCCAGGCTGGGCTGATTTCCGTATAAACATTCCTCCGGCATCTCGGCCAGGACTAGTTAATGTGCCCGGAAAGCAGAGTGGGGTGCTGCCTGCGGGAAGGGGTGCGGCCAGCGCGCAGCTGGTGGACATGCGGCCGTGGGCGTGGTGGACTTGCCCATGGCTCCGGGGCCCCTGGCCGGGGCAGTCTCCAGGCGACCAGGGACGCTCTGTCGGGAGGGGTGCACGTCGCCCCTCCTCACCCCACCCTCCTGGGCTCCGGGCCCGCACTTCCCTCCCCTTCTCCAGGTGTCTGTCCCGCGCCCGTGCCCCCCTCTGTACAGGGGGGCCGCTGGGGAGGGGCCCCAGCTCCCACTCACGAGGGCTCCGGCCCCTTCCCGCCCTGTGTCCACCCACTGGGCTGCCTCTCGCGGTGACCTTCCCACTGCAGTGAGGAGCCAGCTCAACCCATCCTGGGCCCCAGGGCTTCGGGCTCATGCCCCGCCCCCTCTGGCCGGGCCACTCACATCCGCTGGCTGGTCCCTGCTGAGCAGCAAAAGACCAGGGTTGGGTGGGCCTGGGTGGAGGACCTCTGCCCCGGACCTGGGCTTCTAGGAGACTGCCTGGGGCCCCGGTGGTGGTGGTGGTCTGGGGGGGGGGGGCAGGTAGGACACGCTCTTCCCGGGGACACACACGCCCTCCCGTGGGGCCGCGCTGCAGCAAGCCCTGCAGCCCGTCCCAGCCTCGGCCTGCCGCACTCCCCCGGCTCCCTGTGGGCCACACACCGAGAGCCTCAGCAACCTGCCAGAGGCCCCGGGTGACACAGCTGCCAGCCTGCCCGGGCGCGCTGCCCGGCGGGGGCTGGGGGAGGGGCACGGCCGGGAGCTGCTGAATCAGCGGCACCGTGTGTCCCCGCATGTCCCTGTCCCCTCCCAGGCGAGGATGCTGGTGAGGCGGGCTCGCCCTTGGGGAGCTGTCAGGAGCTCGCCGGGGGCCTGGACAGCGGCTGCTGCCCGAGGCCGGCGCACAGCCCGCTCCTGGGGCCGCCGGGAAGCCCCTTTCTGGAGGGGCCGGGGGCAGGGCGGGCGGGGGTGGGGGCCTTCCAGAACACGCCCCCCCCCCAACGGAGAAATGGAGAGGAGGCCTCTGCGGAGGGAAGGCAGCACACGCCTCCCCGCTCCCCGGAAAGTGCCTCGTCAGCATCTGCGGCCTGCCATCCACTCCCCCCGGTCCAATCCCAGGCTGCAAGCCACAGGGACCTTTCAAGGTCAGGGAACATCAATACCCGTAGGCGGGCCCAGCGGGCGGCCCTGTCCTCCACGGGAACACGGGGTCACACTCTGGTCCCGACCATCCTGCAGGGGGAGGTGGTACCCTTCCCTCGGGCTGTGCAGCCAGCTGCCACCACCCAGGGGGGCAGGGAGGTGGGGGGGACGCAGGGACTGCCAGGAGCCTGGACAGCACCCAGACTTTCTCCAATAAGCCTGTGGTTTCCAGAGACTCCAAACCCTCGTCTCCACTGCCCCCATCTGCTTGTTTCCATTCCCGGGCCTGGCGGTTTCTGCCAGGTGCTCCCCTAACACCTGTCTGCAGGCAGCCCCCGCTCAGCGCCTCTGACCTTTGTTCAGGGAGAACCGCTCCCCCCTTCTCTGCCCTTGGCCCTGAACACCGACCTCCCCTCTTTTTTTCTCTTTTTTCAAAGGTTTTCCTCCTGGCTGGCGCAGCTCAGCGGATTGAGCTTGGGCTGCGAACCAAAGCATCGCAGGTTCGATTCCCAGTCACGGCACATGCCTGGGTTGTAGGCCACGGCCCCCAGCAACCGCACATTGATGTTTCTCTCTCTCTTTCTGTCCCTCCCTTCCCTCTCGAAAACTAAATAAAATCTTAAAAAATTTTTTCTCTAAAAGAAAAAGGTTTCCTTATCTTTCAGAGAGAGGGGGAGGGAGAAAGAGGGAGAAAAACAGCTGTGTGCAAAAGAAACATCCATGGGCAGCGTCTCTTGCGCCCCCCACTGGGGACCTGGGCTGCAATCCAGGCAAATGCCCCAACTGAGAACCGAACCTGTGACCCTCTGGTCTGTGGGCCGGCGCCCAACCCCCTGAGCCACACCAGCCGGGGCCCGATCCCCCAGCCTGGAGACCACTGCCCTCCAGGCGCTCTCCTGCCCAGCGGCCGCCCTCTCCCGAGTGCCACCATCTCCTCCCCAGGCCTCCGGGCCTCAGGGGCCCCTCTGGGCCCCTCGCTGGCAGCTGGTGCCCGTGGCCACCCCGCCCGCCCTCTCGGGGAGCGGCTGTGGCCGGCGTCCTCCTCCGAGGTCCCTGTGCAGTTTGGCCCACGCCTGCCCACCCTCCGCCCTCCAGGTCCCGACCCTGAGTCAGCAGCAGCCACAGCCGCCCTCGTCCAGGCGCTGTCGCCGCCAGGCGGCACTGCCAACTGCAGGACCTCGGGGCACTCCCTCCTCCCTCTCCCAGCTGCGCGCCCCTGGCCTGTCTGTCTCCACCCACCTGTGTGTCCCGCTGTGCACTGGGCGGGGTGGCCCTCCTCGCCCCACCCTCGTCCCTTGGGCCGGACCTGGGCCAGCTCTCCTGACACCTCTCTGTCTCAGTGGCAGACTGGGTCCCCGGGGACGAACCCTGTCTCCTAGACCGGCCGGAGCCCCTGGCACTTGCCGAGTGTCTCACACTCCTTGGGCTGGTTTTGGTTTGTCCTGGGTCAGCTCCCGGCCCCGGGGGTGGGGTTGGGGGGGGGAGCCTCTGGCCACATAGGTCGTTTCCATAGTGAGAGGCAAGTCTGCCCCACGGCACTTTGAGCTGAGGCCCGCGTCCCAGGGAGCCGTGCGGGGACCCTCCCTCTGGACAGAGGCCCAGCTCTGTACCAGCTGCTGCTGGGGCTGCTGGGGCGCCCCCCAAGGGCCCCAGCCCCACCCGGGGCGGATCCCTAACTGGTACCTAGAGCACCGTGGCGGGGGACCGGGCTGTGCACAGGTCCTGCCTTCCCCGACTGGCCACTCTGCATGTCATCTTTAAAAATGGTGACTGTCGTACAGGGGACCTCAGGTTAAGTCAGCCAACAGGACAGAATGGCGTGCCACACACAGAACAGTTATAATCCAGCTGCCAGGACCCAGCCAGTAAGGTGACCTTGGGCCGCGTGTGGCCACACCCTCAGACCTTAGCTGCTCGGCCACAGCAGCCTGGGCCCTGTGACTCCCACCCCAAGCCCCTGAAAACAAGGCAAAGCTGGGTGGGGGGCCCGCGGTGCAGCCAGAAGACCAAGCTGGGACGGCAGTGGCCGGGCCCCCGCCACCCCCAGGGGGAGCAGGCACGGTGAGGGCCATCGCTCGGGCGCGGCCTGCACCCGCCCAGGTCCGGGGTGAGGCAGGCCTGGGAAGCAGCATCCCTTGGGGCTCTGCTTGCTGCCTTGGCGGCTTCAGGCACCAAGGACTCTGAGGTGAGGATGTCGCCAACTCTGCCATCGGACGCTGGGCCCTGAAACCAGCCCAGGTTTTCCTCTGACACGTTCAGCTCCCCACCCACGGGGCTGGCTCCCACTGTGGAACCCATCTGCAGCCCACCACCTCTGGCCCAGCATTGCGATAACTGCTTCAAAATGTGCCCAATTTTACTTGGTCTTGGTTGTTAATATTTTCAGGGGAGAAAAAGAAAAAGGAATACACGGTTGAGCTCCAAGAAATCACACCATCAATGCGTTAAAAAAATAAGTTTAATGCAGGTGGCTCATTTCCTAAAGAATTCACAGGCACTCGGCCCCCGGGCAGCTGCACGCCGAGCGTGTCAGCCCCCGGTACTGCCCGCAGACACTCGGGCGGCGCACGGCCAGACCCCTCCCGCCGTCCCCGGGGCGTGGACAGGCGCCCGCCCAGGCCGGGGGGCTCCGTGGGATCGGAGCGGCGTGAGCCCATGAACACAAACAAAGCTTTCAGGAACCAGCACGGCCTAGTGCAAGACCCTCCGCAGCACAGAGAAGCGGGGTCCCCGCGGGCCGGCCCCTCGCCGCCGTCCGGGGCTTGGGCACGCAGCTCGGGCCACCCCCAGGGAACCCCTGACCATCATCCTACAGCTGACTCCAGACTGTGGCACGGTCGCAGCCGAGGGTTTCTGTGCTCTCTCTCTCTCTCTCTCTCTCTCCCTGATTTGGGTTTTCTTCCAGTGGCACCTAACAGTCCTGGAGGTCCCCCCGGGGGCCACTGGCCTGGCTGGCCAGGCAGGGTCGAAGGGGCCACCGCCCACACCCAGGGGGTGTGGGGCGACTCGGGGTGTGGCGGCCTCGGCCCTACATCCTGGGCCCATGTCTGGCTGTTGTCCCAGCACAATTACTCGGAGCGCCTGCTCCCTTGCCAAGGAGGCCCACGGTGCCGCCAGAACACACGGCCACCCTGTCCCCCTGAGGCAGAAGGCCAGAGCCAGGGGTGTGGACAAGATGCCCGGCCTCTGCAGTGCGTTCCCTGCGACCAAAAGTGCCCCCCGCCTGGGCCACCAGCCCTTTGCTCTTCTTCCCTGGCCACGTCCATTTCTGCTTTTCACGCCAACAGCTGCCAAGGCGGGAGCAGCGGGGCAGCTGAGCCCCAAGCTTGGAAACCCGGCCCAGGGCCACAGCCTGGACTCTGGGAGGTGCTCTGACACGCAGGGTCTGCCCAGGTCAAGTGGGGCATGCTCAGAGCGCCTCCCACCACCTTTGACCTCTGGGTGTCCCCTCCCAGGAAAAGAGACCAAAAGCACCCCCCACAGCCAGGAAGAACTGCGCTGCCTTCCCAGAAACCCCCATTCAGCCCCGCCCAAGAGGAAGACAGCCTGCCCTGGGCCGGACCCTCGGGGGCCGTGGTGACTGGCAGACTGCGCCTGCACACACCAAGGCGACCCTGAGGACCGGCCTGGGACTCACGCCCCCTGACATCTTGGGGTGCCAGGCGGATGGGGGCCTGTTGGCTGTGCCAGGACCGGGGCGGCCCAGGGTGGAGTGAGCGGCTCGGTGGCAGTGTGGCAAATGGAGCCCGCCGCTCCCCTGGGGTGGGGAACAGGGCGCACGGTCGGGAAGACCCCTCCAGGTCTGCTCCTGGGCCGCACACCGCGCCAGTGTCCTGGAGAACGGCCAGGGACACAGCATGGCCTGGAAAAGTGCAGGCTGGAAGCACAGGGAGGTGGCCAGGATGTCACTGCACCTGGGCGCACACAGCAGACGCAGGGGAAAAACCGGGTGGGTGGGAGGGCGCGGTGCCCCCCCTCACAGAAGTCTCAGCCTGCTCCTCGCCGGGGCAGAGACCTGTCTGCGGGATGGAGCGCGGCGGACAGGGCCCTGACGGAGCCCCCGCAAGAAGAGACCCCAGCCGCAGGCGTCGACCCCACAGGCCCCGGGAACCAAGCCCGGAGCAGGCCGCAGGGCGCTCACATGTCCACGAAGACCATGAAGCACCAGCCCAGGCCCCCGACCAGCAGCATGGTCACGTGGATGCCGTAGACCAGCAGCTCGTTGAGAAGGCGGAAGTCCACGCGCCGGCGGCCCAGCAGCAGCAGCAGCACCGACAACTTGAGCTGGAAGCGCAGCAGGACGCGCACGCCCACGTACTGCAGGCAGAAGAGCGCGGCCAGCGCGCCCCACAGCGCCGCCGTGAAGAGGCTGCAGCTGAAGTAGAGCAGGAAGCGGATGAAGCCGTACAGCCAGCGCGCCCGCACGTACACGTCGAAGTTGTTGTACTTGGTGCGCGCCAGGCGGGAGGTGCGTGCGGGCCCGCAGGCCGCGTGCAGGCAGGTGGTGTGCGGGCCGTGGAAGGAGCGCACCCGCCGCGGGATGGGCATGACCGGCATTGGGGCCTGGGCGGCGGCGCTAGCTCGCGGCAGAGGCGGCGTCCGGGTGGCAGTCAGCGTCATGGGCACCTAGGCCCGGGAGCCCACCGCTGAGCCCCGGGGGAGGCGTGGGCCTGCAGGAGAGCGACAGAGAAGCGAGTGAGCCTGGGGGGCGGCGACGGTGCATCCCGGGCACCTCTCCGCCCAGGGCACGCCAGCCCTCTGCAGCAGTGAAACCAAGCCTGGGATGCCAATTCTGCCGCAGACTCCAAAGGGACCCACAATCACATGGAACCCAAAAGAGCTAATCCGCTCATCACGGGGAGGAAGGGCCAGGACGGCGGTTGGGGGTCCCCCTGGAAGCAGGCAGTGCTGAAAGCGAGGCAGACCCCACAGGCTCCGCGATGATCTGGGTGCCCCAGCCCTGCCTGGCCGCCTCAGGCCCCTTTCTCCAGGGTGAACAAAAGTCCCTCAGCGGTATCCCCCCCGCGGGAAAGGGGGGGGGCACAGGGCGCATGCGGAGCAGTGCACTTCAGCAACCAGACACCCAGGTGCCGGGAGCTAGGCAGCTCGGCAAAACCCGCTGCCCGCAGCGCTGCTCTCAGGGGTGCAGCGAGAGGCAGGCGCCACATACTAAACAGCCACCATGCCTGGCAGGCGGGGGTGTCCCGTGTCCCGGAAGAGCACAGGGGCCTGCAGACTGGGCCGCGGGGGGAGAAGCAGCAAGGGGCGCTCTAGCTTTACCGGGTAACTGCCGTAACTGCCGTGGAAAGCTTGCCTAGGGCTGTGGAAGGGAACCCGGAGCCGTTAGACCAGGACGTGTCCACTGGAAGCAGCCAAGTTGGCTGCGGGTTATCGTGAAACACTGCCCGGGGTCTGCCTCCCTTCAGAAGGGGGACTTTTCTCCAAGCTCCGTCTCGGGCCGCCAGTGAGAGCAAATGGCCTCCCAAGCGCTGATCCGGCCGGAGGCGGGGGAGTGGGAGACCGAGCGTCCACCTCTCCTCTGCCCCGCAGGCCCGGCCCTTCCCGCAAGGTTTGGCCAAGAATCCGGCCTGAGAGCAGCTGCCTGAGCTCAGAGCTGCTCCATCCAGACTTCACCTTGGTCTCAGCCAGTGGCATTCGGGCAGTCGGTGCCCTCGCCCGGAGGGTCGCTCGACAGCTGCCCCTCACTCCCTGCAGGCTGCGGGGACGCGGCCAACCTCCGATCGCCACCTGCCCCGGGAGCAAGCACCTTCTGGGGCGCCAGGCACCCGCGCCACGAGCGCAGAGGTCGGGGCAGGTGGACTAGGCCGAGATGCGCGGTCCCGAGCCAGGGAGGCTCCATCTCGCCGCCCGCTCCAGGCCCCAGGTCACCAAGGCGCTCGGCTGCTCAAGTGGCACCGAGTCCCGGATCAATGCGTCCTGGGCACGAAACGGCTCTGCCCGCTTGCCTCTGGGGGAACTGGCGACCAATAGGGCAGAACCCACCCGCCAGGATCCCCGGGCAGCCCCCCGCCCGCGGCCCTGGAGACGCCGGGGGCAACTCCCGCCCTCCAACTCACCGGGTGCCCTCTCCGCGCCGGCGTCCCGGCCTGCGGGCCCCCCTGTCCCTCGGGGCTCCAGGAGTAGGGCAGCCGCATTGTGCCGACGGCGCGGTGGCTACGAAGCTCGGTGCCTCACCGGTCCCCACCTGCCCCGAAGGGCCAGGGGCTCTGGCGGCCGGTGGCCGGCGGCGTTTGGCCCAGCGTGGGAGCCGTAGCGCCGTCCCTCTGCGGCCACCGTAGGACTTTCCTCACGCCCCTCCGCCCACTCCGATACCGAGAGCACCACCCTTCCCCCAATTTGGGGTCGACTCTGAACACCCGGAACTCGACGTTTCCCTTCGGCGTGCGTGCGTGCGCGGCGCTCGCTCTATGACGTTACATCTACGTCACCGCCCATCGTACACCCCAGGCGCCTAGGCCAGTTCTGCGCGGGCGCAGATAGTGGGCTTGCGCGTGCGGATTCCGAGCAGCTCCTCCGCGCACGCGCCGCTGCGTTCCAAGCGGTTGGCAGTACGCGGGCGCGCGCTCGGGCGGGCCTAGGGGGGAAGTGACGCTACTTTGCTGACACCTGGAGGGGGCGGGCCCAAGATCACGGCCCAAAGAGACTGCCCCTCGGAGCGCAGCTGCTGGGCATTGGGGTGGGGCAGAGGGCCGGAGTCTGGGAGTGGTCTGGAGGGGCGGCAGGCGGACACCCACAAGCTCTGGGTGCCCTCTCCCGAGAGAATGATGATTTTTATGCAGAGGGCTTTAAATATTTTAGTCCCACAGAGGTGTCAGGATAGAGAGACGCCTCCCCTTGTATGCAGCTAGTAAGTTCCATTCGCCTAAATTCTATCAAGTTCGAGATTGTGCAAGTTCCACCCATGTGCAAGCGGCTGTCTGTCCCCGACCGCAGGGGCTAAGGGCCTGCATGTCCCCCGGCTGAGCCCTGACCCCAGCCCACTCACACCCAGTCCCTGCCCTGTGGGAAGGGCTGTGTGGAACTGGCCCTGCAGCTCCCACCCTGCTGGGGAGGAGGGTCTGGTGGGGTCAGATGGAGAGGGACGGGGAGAAAGCCTGAAGCCGGAGGAGTTTCTGAAAGTGAGTTTCAGAGCAGCTGTGAAGCAGTAACGGGAGAGGATGCGAGAGGAGGGGGATCTTTAAGAACTGTTTCTTAAAAGGCATCTTCTCTGCATGCAGGCGGGGTCTCTGCACGCCCCCCCCCCCCCGCCCCAGCTCTGCGGCCACCTGGCTGTGGTGCCTTTCCCAACCCTCTCCCCTTGGGACGTCACAGGCCGGCTCCCCGCTCAGCTCTGTGAAGAAGCCCCATTGCTCTAGCGCAGGGATTTTCGAGCCGTGCGCGGCAAGGATTTTTAAAACATGCAATACCTGACGATTTAGTCAGGGGCACTGACCTCTTTTCCCTTAGATTGTAAAAAAGAAAAAAAAAAAGACAGCCAACACAGCAATAGCGGTGTGGTGTGAATGCATCAAAATTGTACCTATTTTTGGTCAGATCTGCAAAAAATGCTTTTTTTGTGTGTGGGCTGCAGAATTTTAGGGATTGGTTTATGTGTTCCACGAGATGCGAACGGTTGGAAACCGCTGTTCCGGTCCGTGACTTGCCCCTGCAGACTTTCCTGTGCTGCTCCTCAGTCGCTCCTCCACCTGCCGACTCCTACTTAACCTTCAAAACCTGGGTCCAGTATCCCCTTCTCTGGGAGGTGGCCTCCAGTCAGGTGCCACCCTGGCCTCCCCTGGCTCCTCCTACCCCTGCTGGGAGGGTTCCAGCTCCATCCTTCCCTTCCTCCACTCCTGAAGCTGCGAGCACTTCTTCACGGGCCGTCTCTGCCACCAGCTCAGGCTTCTTTCCACGCAAAGATGCACTTCCGCCTCGTCATGCAGTCCACGTGTGCACGTCTTAAACAGCCCCGGAGGCTTCCCAAAACATAACTTCGGACCGCACACTCTGCCCAAGCGCTGGATGCCGCCCACCTGCGGCTGACCACCGTCCATCAGGAGACCTGGGGACAGGGCTGTGTCCTCAGGCCAGCTCCATGGCAGCCACTGGACACATGCCGTGTTAGGTCACAGGCTTGCCCAGGTGCTGGCTGGGGGGCTCCCCTCTGCTCTCCGTCCTCCCGAAGGTCCCCTCCCCGGGGTCAGCCCAGGCCTCCCCGCTGAGCCTCGGAGCAGCTGGTAGCAGCCTGGCGCCACCTGCTGGGACAGTGCAGGCAGGGCCGGCGGCGGTGGGGTGCCCCAGGAGGAGGGAGTGTGGTGTAGAGTCCAGGGGTAAACTAGGGTGCCTGGGCCAAGTCCCAGGGCTCCCCAGTTGTCGGTGGCTGCTTTTAAGCTGCCGTGGCCGAGCTGAGACACCCCCAGACACGCAATGGCCTGCAGATCCGGAAACCTTGACTCTGGCCTTTCAGGGGAGTTTGTTGACCGGGCTTAAAGGGGCATTTATGCTCGCCGAGCCCAGCGCCCCCCCCCCCCCGCCGCGTCCATCCCTCTGCTCCCTGGCGCAGAGACGCGGCCTCATAAATGGCCCTGCCGTGACCTTGAAGTCCAGAAACGTTACTCCCCTTGGCTTTGGGTTGCTTTAGTCACCGACTCTGAGGCCCCAGGGACGCCCATAATCTCCCAGGTGGGGTGACAGGCAGCTGTGTGGCATCCACCCCGGCCTCCCGGGTGCTCCTCCGCTGCACCCGTCGCCGTGCGCGGCAGGGTGACGTGCGCGTGCGCGTGCACGTGCGCGCCGTGCTGAGAGGGGCGTGTGGAGGGCGTGAAGGAGAGGGCATGTGAGGTGTCACGCGAAGGGCATGTGAAGGGGGAACCCTGTGGGGGTCAGTAGGGGGGCTGGTAATGGCCATGTGGGTTGTCACGTGGCAGGAAGTTAGGGAGCACGTGGGGGTCGTGCGGGGCACAAGCAAGAGGCCATGTAGGGGCACTGCTGGGCACACGGGGGTCACGTGGAAGGCACGTGGGGGCATTTGGGGGTCATGTTGGGGACATGTCGGGCATGTAGGAGGGCAGGTGGGGGAGGCCGTGGTGGGGAGCGCCAGGAGCTGGAGGCCCCTGTGGGCGTCGGGGCCAGAGTGGGACCTGTGAGAGGCGGAGCCCCGGCGTTTTCGGCCCCAGCCCCGCGGGTCACCCACGGGCTTGCGGCTTCCCGGCCTAGCCCCAGCACCCCACGGGGCAGAGCCTCGAGGCACTGTCTGTCCCGCTGGGTCCCCACCCCAGGGACCCTGATTCTGAATGCGGGGTGGCCATTACATGCCCAGAGGGTTTGAGCAGAACAATATGTAATCTCAAATTCTGGTAACCACCCCCTGCCTGGTTTGGCTCTGGCCCCGCCCCTTGCTAGTCGGGGGCGTGGTCCTCCATTCTTCGGCCCTGCTGCACCTGTGAGGCGGCCGGAGCGAGGGAGGGTGGCCTCCCATCCCACCCACTTCTCTCTCCTCCCCCTCTCCCAGCCACTGGCTCTCCCCCATCTTACCGAGTCCGGGACTGGCTGGAGCTTGTCGCTGTCTCCCAGCAGGGTCCTGCGGGGTGGGAGGATGCCCCGCTGCCCCCCACCCCCCACCTTCTGGAGAGGAGTCTGAAACGACTCCTGGCCCCTGGTCCCCACTCCCAGCAGAGCTCAGTGCTACTGGACGGGAGGGTTGACCGAAGGGCCTGCCTGGCGCTGGGCTTTGAAAAAGGGAGGGAGGCCGTTGGAGACCAGCGGGCCTCAGCCTGGCATCGCCGGTGACACCCATGGCGTGACCCCAGCGAGGCCCAGCCTGCTCCCCACGTGGGTGGCCTGGGCACAGGGCAGGACTCGGCCTCGGGGGAAGCGGACCCATGTCTTCCGGCTTTGTGAGTGGTGCTGGGGACTGTCGGCCGCGGCTGGGTCAAAGCTCACCGTGTGCAGACTGGCCCTCATTTTGGAAGCGTGCCCCCCCACCCCCAAGCTGCAGCAGGCCGCTCTGGGCTCCGGGGAACTGCTTCACCGCCCGAAGTGCGCAGCCTTCTCTGTGAGCTGGACAGCACAGGGCCCCCAGCCCTGCTCGGTGACAAGGAGGAGGCCACACGGCCCAGCTTCCTGGTGGCTCTGGCCTCCTCCCGGGCAGCAGGCCCTGCCGTTTAATGGACACGGCCCCTCCTAAAGCCCGGGCCCCCAGGCCCTGACGGGGCCACGAAAGGCTCACGTTCAGGGTTGCCGCTCACCTGGGTTCAGCCACTTCCACGGCCCACGTCTGTGTCCCCCGGTGCGACTTCCACAGAAGACACAACTCGTCCCCCGGTGACTGAGCAGAACCGTGGTGACAGGAGGGAGGATCCTGGCTGAGCCGTCATCGCGAGGCGTGGGCGACCTGTCTGCCTCCCGGGAACCCAGCCGGCCGGGTGCATTTCACCACACGCGCACGCTGGAAGACAGACATACACGGATGTGCCGCGTGTAGCAGTAAAAACTTTTAGTGAATTGTTCACCGTGCAGGAGATTTAAGGGGTAAATGCATCGGCTCACGATGTTACTTTAACACACGTATTTGTCACTTCGACAACAGCACCAGAAACAAATCTGGAAGACACTGCACCCAGAGACGCACTACACACGGATGCAGCTGAAAAGAGGTTTATTTCGGCCGTCGATGGTTGATGGGCCCCCCAGCGCAGGATTTAGGGTCAAATTATGCGAAATCAAAAACCAGCCGTGTAATACTTAATCATACATGCATAAAACTGTCAGGCCCAAATACATTCTCTCAATTAACTTGCTTCAGACCGTGATTGCATCCGATAATTTAATCATCTCGGAATGATCTGCAGGCGGGGAGTGATGGATGGCCACAAGGGCGCACCCCACAGGGAGCCGGGGCACCCCGCCCCCGCCCCGCCTCCTCTGGCGAGTGTGGGGCAGGACCTTGGAGGTCGGAGGTCGGGGGCCACGTCTTTCCTGTGGGCACGGCTTCCCTCCCCTCTCACAGGGGTGGCCCCTGTCAGCCAGGACCGCAGCTCGGACCCCCGTGGGAACACGGTGGCCCTCGGGGGTGTCGCCGGGATGAGCCATCCCGGAAATCACTGTCCAGAACACACCCCTCTGCATCTGCCGGGCTCCAGAGGCCCGGGGGCCCACGTCAGCTCCAGCTCCCTCCTCCCTCTTTTCCAGAACAACGAAACGCACCTGGGACCTTCCAATGCCACCGACATCTCCCCTCTGAGCCCGCCAGGCCCTACCCAGGATTCTTTTTTTTTTTTAATGTAAGATTTTATTTTATTCACTTGTAGAGAGAGGGGAAAGGAGGGATAGAGAGAGGGGGAGAAGCATCAGTGTGTGGTCGCCCCTCTCACTCTCCCCCACCAAGGACCCAGTCCGCAACCCAGGCCTGTGCCCCGCCGGGGAATTGAACCGGCGGCCCTTCGGTTTGCA